TTTAATTTTTTTTTTTTATTGTTTGCGTTGATTTCAGAGGGAGGAAGGGAACCGTGAGTGATTCGAGTCCCGGGTGGGCCGCCTCCTGCACGCCCCCTACTGGGGATGGAGCCCGGGGGATGGGCCCTGACCGGAAGCGTACCGACCTCCAGGGTCATAGGTCGACGCTCAACCGCTGAGCATGCCGCCGCCGGGCCCTCTGACCTTTTTAAGGGACTTCCTGGTTTGTTCACCAATCGCTGAGACTTGCCCTGTCCAATCAGAACTGCACCATTACATCCTATTTGCATCTACATTGGCCAATCAGAGCTGCTCTAACAACCAATCAGAACACACAATGCTGACCAGTCAGAGCCACACCAGTATGTTATTTGCATCTACACCAGCCAATCAGAACTGCTCTGTGACCACCAATCAGAGCACACGCTGACCAGTCAGACCCGCACCTTACGTCCTTTGCATCTACACCGGCCAATCCCGCTGCTCTGTAGCCGCCAATCAGAACCTCGCGATTTCACCGGAGGCCCGCTGGCTCCGGACGGGCCTTTGGGGAGCCGGGTGCCCCCCCTCCCCCGTGAGAGGCAGGCCCTTGGGCTGTGGGGCGCCCGCCTCCGCCAGACGTTCCCCCTCACCTGCGAGAGGCGCCCCGTCCACTTGGGTAAAACCGCACAATGGTCGTTGGCACGTGGCCCTGCGCACCCACGGGTGCTAGTTAGTGAACAGGGGGTGCAGGGTTAGCTGTTCACATGGAAAACGGTTTTTAAAAAGCGACTTAGCATACTCACCTGCAGGCCTACTTGTGCCCTCCTTGTATTTTGCTAAAATTTTCAGACAAACGTCACAAAGGACACCCCAGAGCCCAATGGCAGGTTCTCAGATGTGCTCCGCCGGGGCCGCGGTTAGACTTGGCACACGCGGGGGCAAGTGCACAGTCAGACGTGGCACACGCGGGGGCAAGTGCACAGGCTCGCGCCGAGCCTGACCTGTGTCCAGGGACGAGGGCTTTGCAGCCGGTGCCGGGTCCCCCGCAGGGGTCAGGAGCGCGGCGGAGGAAGCTTCATTCTCGCGGGCACGTCCCCCTCGGGGTCCCCACGAGCCCCTGCCTACCCCTCAGCAGGTTCGGTCTTGCGTTTTCCCCTTTAAAGCTCAGGCTAAGGGGCGGGAGGACGCTGCTTCCTGCAGATGAAACCTGCGGACAGCAGGTAACTTGTTTGAAGCCATCGGTTACTAACCGGTCACTAAGCAGCCTGGTTGGGGTCAGGCGCCAACTGTGGGAACATGTCAGACTCGGCGTCTGCGGCTTTCCCGCGCAGCACAAACCCAGACGCAACCAGCTAAAAAGGGTAGAGTGACTTTAAAATATATATATATTATTTGTTTTGCATTTCCTGGTTATGTGTTCAGTTTGCAATACTTGGGTAGCTATTATCAAGGCAGAGCTAGATAGTAATTTTGAGTCAGGAATAAATAAACCTTAGGCCAAGACACTTGTGCCCCTGACAAGGTTTATTAAAAGTGCCCTTTGTAACATTACTGCACATGATTCTGGTAGCAAATACACTTTTCACCCCTCATTTACAAACTGTATACATAGCAATTCATTTGAGAGTATAAATATATAAATATCCTGCAATTTACAGACACTAAATGGTTTCTGACCAATGAAGTCGTGATATAGCAGAAAGTAAAGAATACCAAACATTAAGTTACCCCCCAACACACACCAATACTCTAGCAAGTTCTTCAAACAGGTAGAAGCTTCAGCAAAAGCCCTCTTATGGACAGAGCCTGAGGGCCACCCGGCAGAGCGCTGCCTATAAAAAATACAGAGCTTCAACAAGATACCAGCTCAAATGCCAGACATGAAATGTAAAAAAAGAGCAAATTGCTGCACAGCACCATTTCAAAGCCCCAGAAAACACTGCGAGTGGTCTGTCGACACGGTTGTGACTAAATGAATGACCAGTGTTCACAAGCTGTCCTAACAAGGAAATCAAGTTTATTCACCATGCAAGTGCCCATTTCCACCAGTTGTGCCAGATGTGTGCATGGCATCTGCTCATGAAAAGGCAGGTGAAAGGATCGTCTCTTTAAAGACTTCTCCAGGTGCTGCTCAGTATCCCCCACAGAATTATGCACATGTGGTGGTGCAAAATGTCAAGCTAGATCCTTAATGTAAGATCCCCAAAGTAGGGTATCTTCTTTATTACCTGATTGTAGATGTAAAGTTTTTGGGTTTTTTTGTTTTTTGTTTTTTTTTTTTTAACTGAAATGGCATAAGGACCTTTCATCTTCATCAAACCACGTTACAAACATCCCATTACACCTGTAAACGTGAAGTCGAGGTCCGGCCTCTGATCTCCAGCCCCGTCCAAGAACTGAGCATGATGCTGGAAATGGTTCACTGGTTTGAAATTGTTCTCATTCAGCCCCATATGGGACAGAGATAACAGGAAATGATTATGCTGGTAAAGCCATATTACTCACATGTCACTGGCCTGTAATTTGGACAGAAACAGGACATGATTCCCGTGAGCACACTATTCAGGCACGTCAGCACTCAGAGGAGAGCGAGACTGAAGGACGCAAGCTAAGCTGCCACAGGTAAACACGGGCTGGCCATTTCGCCTCCAGCCTCATCTGACCTCGCAGGAGAGAACGCTGGCACGAAAGTAACAGATGCTTGGGATTCCATTCATCAGAAAAATAACCGTTTACAACAGACTAATGAACCAAGTGGCAGTGTATCTAAGTTAAAGATACGTAGTTAAAATTCATGGCAATGAGAAGCTACTATTTGCTGCAACGTTTCAATATGTAAACGCCTGTTTACAAATGGCTGCCGAGTACCGTCCAAAGCACATTTGGAGCCCCGACACTGGAACTCCACCCATCAGACCCAGCGAGTAGCCAGCAACAGACACGGATTTCAGGGGAATATTTACACCGATTTCTTGCTTTGTATCTTTTCCTGCGCAAGGACAGCCCACCCGGTCCTCTCTGCCACAGCCTCACACCCACTGGGTCCTGCTGGGTGCGAGCTCCTGCGAGCTCCTCGCGGGACAGGAAGGCAGCACGTAGGTGCGCTTGGGGACACCCTTCCTCCCGCCGGACCCAGGCCCACTGGCTCTGGACGGCTGCCACCCCTCTCTACTTTGGTTACACGTTTCCCAGGGTTTCAACAAGTCGGGTCTGTCTTCAGACTTGAAGCAGAGGAGGAGGGACTTGGCCACAGATTCGAGGTCCTCGTGGTTGTCCTCACAGCCGCCAGCAGATGCGGTGCACACACCACCGTCAACGTGGACATCCCCTGCCAAGCTGCAGACACTTTCCACACAGCTCCCGAGGAGGCGCCCGTCACCACGGCGTCCTGAGCAGGAGAAGAGAGCTCACTGACACTTCCCTTCTCGTTGGGCATTTACTGCTGTTACACGCGTGACTCCAGGAGCTTTGTCAGTGGCCGCATCACGACAATTCTCACTGTTTAACATTATTCAGTACAGCTGCTAAGCAAGCAGGTGGGTAGTTTTTTTTAGGGCCCGAACTTTTCGGGCAGAACGACTTACACATATTGCCTGGGAATTCAATCACACACGGTCCAATGTAATTAATGTTAGTGAGGTCGCATTAACTAGGTTTAGTTAATAAATTAGAAGGGAAAAGATGTAAGATTCCTTAAACTATAAAATTCTGATCAAAACTACCACCTCCATGTGGAGTACATACCTTCCAGGGCAGAAATGACAATTTGGATAGTTTGCTCTAAGCAATGTGTTAACTTCAAAAATTCTGGGGCTCGATCAGCCATCTCCTTCAGCTCTTTGCATCTAGAATCTTCTTCCTGAGCCCAAGTTCTGGAACTTTTCTGTGTGAATAAAGTTAGTATTTATGAAAATACAGAGCGGCTCACATGGCAATAGGCTTGGTCAGTACGGTTTTAAAGCCAAACTCTTTATCTTCATGAGAAAGACAAGTTTCATTTCCTCAGTGTCTAACTTTCTCCAAGCAAGACCAAAGCACAGTGGTAACAGGTACTGTTTCCAAAAGAAATAAGAACTTTTATCTAATGTTAAACCAAAGTCTAATTGCCCTATTACAAGAGAATGGAATAAAAACGGTGCCACATTATCCAATATTATCAAAAATAAAAGTGTAATTTTTAAGAGTTTAACTTTACATCTGCCGCTTGTTTTTTATTTAAATAAGAACTGTCAAACTAGAACCCTCTCTCCCCCTTTAACACACAGGTTATGTACTCAGTTCGTATTTTTCTATTTCCCTGTGTCGTGAGGGTAAAATAACCTTTCTAGTTCACCTGTGGTCTAGAATCTGAGCACAGTGACTATGAAACACGAATGTTTAGCTTGTAACAACCATCCCAGCAAAAGCTGAGCAATTCTGAACCAAGGGCAGGAGACAGAGCAGGTTAATGCTGATCAGTGTCTGCACGACTCATCTGTTACTAAGCTGACAGTTACCACGTCCAGGCGGCCTCGGCTGAGAGCCACGGCGTGTGTCTCAGCTGAACATGGGGTCACCTGGAGAGGGGTCAGACCTGAAACCAATGTGACTAACCCGAACGCAATGAGGACAGCGCACACAACAAAATTAAACATAAACAACACAGAGCTCCTCTTACTGTTTTCCATGCGGCAAAGATGTTTTCAAAACACCTGATCAGGGCCGCGGCCTTGGCGCTCAGCTGCTGGGCCACCTGGAGGGAAGGTTAGACTATTTTATTATACACGTAATTCCTTAGAAGTATAAACCCCTAGGACTCTCTGGGACCAGGCAGGGAGAAGGGTTCTAGTAGAGCCGTCAGAAGCCTGGCGTCCTCTTACTGGGACTACATTCACCTTCGAGAGCAGCCAGAGCTCCGGCCCAGCTAACCGACTCCAGCAAGAGAGGGAAATGATGGAGACAGTTTAACAAGTAGTTACAAGATTCTAGAACAGACCAGGCTCTGAAATTGTCATGAGAGTTGAACCATCTTCCTAATCCTCAGCTCACCGATCGTAACTCAGTGAAGAAAATCAGTGTGAGAATGATTCACACACTAGTGTAACATGCTGGGCTTGGGCACCAAGTGGACAGAAACACAACTCTGGCTCTGCGCCCGGACATGACCCCAGCTCAGTGAGCTCAGAGGGACACTAGGAATCCCCACCTCAAAAAGTGGTGAGGCTCACAGACCTGACACAGGTGTTATCACACGTGACAGGTGAGGAGACGGGGTCAGAGCACGGAGTCACGACCAACACACACTGGGAAGTCACATCAGGTTTTAACACAGGCTCTGGGGTCACACCAGCCCCTCCTCGCACCTCCTCTGAAACACCATATATGCTCTAATGTTAGCGAGCCAGAGAGTGGTAAGGAGGCTTATTTCGGGGAGTCACTCAATTCTTCTTTGCTCCTGTGTCTCAGAGTAAAATAAACAATGTGAACCCAGCACATCACTCCAGATAGCGCTTTGCTCCAGATAGTGGATCAACATGTGGTAGTTTACATTCATAAATGGAAAAGTAGAGACCAAAACAAGGGGGAAAAAGACAAAATGAACAAACAGCAGGTGTCACTGCAGCTCCATGTGCTGCGGGGTTTATCCCGGACAGGATTCCACCAGGATCTACAACCACAGAGGCTGCAGCTCAGGAGCAACTTGGGGAACTGTCTCCAAGACACCGTGATCTCAGCAAAAAACAGTCTAACACAACTTATATACACAGATTTGTAACAATCTAATTCATGCAGTTACACATTTTTTAAAAATCAATTCAATCCACTGTCTTGTAGCACACCGGACATTTTCATTCCTCTTACCTCGTTTTGGGGGCGCTGCCGTAAGAGCTCGCGCCGAAGTTCCCCTGCCTTTTCCATTCCAGAATCGAGCAGCATCCTCCCTCCCGAGCCTGCTCCATCCCACAGAGCACCCACGAAATCCTCCTGGAAGAAACTTTGAAGTGTTAATAGGCAAATTCAGGTTTTAGATTTTTAAAAAATAATTAAGTAATTGTTATATCTTCTGCTTATTTTAGGAATACATTCCAAGTTTATTAAATTCAACTGAAGCTGGAATAAGAAGAGACCATAAGGGAAGTGAGCAAATCTGTAACGAAGTATCCCAAAGACAGTGCCAGGAAGACCGGGCGTCCTCAGCAGACACGATGTTGCCAGAACGTGGTAACATTCTAACACTGTCGGCAGCCTGGGTGACCTCGGCCAGCAGATACTTCCTAGAATTAGAGTCCTCCCTGCTGAATGGCAGAGTAACCCTCCCTGGTCACCATCGTCATCAAACCAAAGGTCCAGCAGGTGAAGTGAAGCCTCCAAACCACCTTGCACGTTCCCACTCGGTCAGCTTAGATGGAAACAATTTTAACTCTTACTGCTAAACAGCTAAGAGTAGGAGCTATTTTTAAATAAGAATTGATCACGCTCAGTGACACTGTGACCAGAAGCCTCTACCACTCGCTCAGGTGAAGTCTCCCAGAGCCAATGTCACTTACTCACCTGGACGCCGGCGCCCTTGTCACCACTGTTTTCCAGGAGATGAAGTTTGCTCCCACTCAGAACCGCTAACTGTCCCACACACTTCACAGCTTGTTGTACAGTTTGGATGACTTTCTTCTGAGCGTCTTTTACCATCGATGGAATATCTGAAGAGCATCCCTATAAGATAACAAGACCAATTTATCAGATGCATGAGGCTATGGGAGCAGGAGCTAAAGACAAAATACGTGAAGGAAATAAATTCTGCATTCCCTGATCCAGTGACTGCGCCTCAGAGTCTCAGAATCAGAAAATACATCACCCTACAGCCGCCCATGGCGACAGAGTGACTGGCACACATGAGCAGGGGACACGGGCATGGCAGGGGCTGGTGAGTGAGCACCGAGAGGACAGAACGGTGGCTCTTCACCCTTAAACTGCTCCTGCCCCAGTGGCCACCTGACAGGTGGTTAAAAGAGTCCCTCGTGTCTGGGAGAAGGAACAGGAAGGAGGGGAGGGAGAGGGGACACAAGGCTTGTGCGCCAGCGAGCACACACCCAGGAGGGACAGACAAGGGGCAGACAAGGGCATCCCCTGAGCTATGTTGCCTCTAGAGGCTGAGAGCCACCTCGGCATCTGTCTCTCTTTCCTGCGGGTTCTGGTCTCCGGCTCTGTGCCCGGCCAGCCCTCCCTACAGCTCCGATTCTGGGAGACGCAGACAGGACAAGGTCAACACATACTGAACAGACGCATCCTGCAAACGACAATCAGCAAACCGACTGACCTGCAAAAACACCTGCAAGTAGCCGCCCAGCTTCTCCACCTCCTGCCTCAGCTCCTCTCCAAGCCTGGCTGTGCTGAGGCCGGGAGGGACGTCACCCAGCCAGTGCGTGACGAGCACCGCAAGCTGCCCAAAGGCACACGCGACCTGCACAGCCCGCACTTGGGCTGCGCGATCGGAAGAGAACACTGAAAGAAAAGGGAAAGTTACCGGAAGGGGCCACCTCCAAACAGCAGAGCTCACCCAACCATTCACCCCTATCCCAGGCGGGCAGTGTGAGCGGCTGTGACAACAGACTTTTGAAGCAAAGTGCCCCATCTGCTTACGGTCGTCCGGACTCTCCTCATCCTGGGCTTCGTGAGCCTGGGAGACGGCCAGCAGCCCGTCCTGAACCTGGAGGAAACTGTCCACCAGGCCGTCTGCCATGCTTTTCCCTCCACAGCTCTGTCCGAGAGCAGCTACAGACGAACCAATCAACTCTCTGCAAATTCCAGGAAGAGAAGACTCTGCGGAGCTGGAGTCACGGGAGCCTGGTCTCTCCACCGAGCCTGTTCCGAGGGACAGCAGCCCCGTGAGTGTGGATTCTGGGCACCCGACTCTGACGCCCACACGCCCACGCGAGCATGTTCCAGAGCCACCTGACCCTGGTTCACAGCGGGGCCCGATGTCCTTCTCAGTCCACAAGGACGTCTGATGACAACCTACCTGCAGACCGTGACGAATGTGGAGCCTGAACCGCGTGAGCCTGGATGTTATGCAAGTAGCCGGAAATCCTTCGGTCCTTCACCAAACTCCTGCTCCTAAGCAGAGAACACGAGCAGGGGATCAGCAGTCCCNGAAATCCTTCGGTCCTTCACCAAACTCCTGCTCCTAAGCAGAGAACACGAGCAGGGGATCAGCAGTCGGCTGCTCCATGGAGCAGCGTCACCAAGTCTTTTCCTAACAGAACCCCTACTACTGTGGCCATGCAAAGAAAAACACTATTTGTTGAAAAGATGGTTGAACAAAAGCACTCTCTCTGTCACAGCCTGTGTCACATATAGACCTTCCCCACGGGTCCCAACGAACCCCCGTGAGACAGGACTGGAAACAGGAAACGCAGGGCTCAGCGGTCACAGCGTCCCGTGCGGGGCGAGGAGGGAGGCGCACGGTCACAGGAGCCTCAGCTGGAAAACCTGGTCCCTCACCGTCGGCAAGAGGTCTACACTCAGGTACACAAAATGCCATCACGCTCCTGTCACAGGACTTTCATTTAGCATCAGGGGAGATTTCTCTTTTAACTGTCAGCAGTACACGTCGAGATTTACAGGCAGCCGAGCCTCTATTTTACAGCGACCTGCGCGGCGGTCACGGCCCGGAGGCGGTTCCGTAATTAAGGGTCTGTCGGGCCCCCTCACAGGCAGGCAGCCTCCGCGCTCGCGGCCTGTCGTAAACATCCCTGCAAGGCTGACTTCACGGACAAGGTCTCGGACCAAGAGCAGTTCATTTCCTCTAAACGATGCTTTTAAATTACAGATGTTCTCAAAAACATCTCTGCCGCATGAAAAAACGTGATTTCAAAACCTTAGAAAATATTAAGAGTTTTAGCCCCGGCCCATTTGGCTCAGTGGGTAGAGCGTCGGCCTGCGGACTGGAGGGTCCCGGGTTTGATTCTAGCCAAAGGCACGGACCTCAGCTGCAGATTCGATCCCCCACCCTGGTCGGGGTGCATGTGGGAGGCAACCAACGGATATGTCTCCCTCCCCTCCACTCTCTCTGAAAAGCAATGGAAAAAATATCCTCGGGTGACGATTCATATAAATAAAGTAAGGAAATGAGACAGACGTACACCCAGGACAGGAAAGGTAGTAACAACGTCTGTACCTCCGCCTGGAGATCGAGGAGACGGGCGCATCTGTGAGGTCAGGCTCCCACTCATCTTCGGGGTCACAGAAGAGGTCCTCACACTTGTTACCACAGTTACTCTAAGAAAAATAAATAATGAACTTAAAAATGTTTACCACTAAGAAAAAATTTTAAATATGTGGTTATATTTAAAATAGAAAATTAGCAAACTTACAGAACATCTGACAAAAGTAAAAAGAAAAATCACATTCCTGATCAAATTTAAAAAGTTGCATGAGGCTAGAAACTATGTAAAGAGACCTATTAATAAAAGCAACAGAAATCATTCAATAACTCAGAAATAATTTGGGATTCAGAAGACAGTAAAAACAAAGACGAAATCCTTGGGAGAAATAATGTTAAGCTCGGTCCCTTCCTGGTTGAACATATTGATAATAACCTACGTTTTAGTTCCATTAACAGAGTTCTAACAAAACACTGTCCAGCACTTGGTTCAGAAGTGGCACAATCACATGGAAACAAATACTGCAGCCAGCAGCTGAAAAGAGGAAATAAGGCGGCAACGAGGCCCCTCACCTTCCGGGTTCACGCCTGCGCCAGGGCAAAAGGACCACGCGGCCTTGGCACAGCACCTGTGCTCCCAGCGCACGCGACTCACGTTAGAGAATTCGGACCCGCTAACGCGCCAACAGAAAGCCGCCCCACAGCCTGTCCTCCGGATGCCCCGGCCGCGCTCGGGGCGGCTGTGGGTCTCCTGCCGCGGCCCCCGCCCCCGCCCGGGCCTGGCCTCCGGGTCAGAGCCAGGGCTCTTAGGGTTCGGGGTTGCCTTGCTAACGCTGCACTCAGGGTTTGACAGCTGTGACCGTACAGACTGGTTTGTGGTTCTCTTCTGAATCATCTCTTCAGGTTTTGTGGTTTCCGTCTGATTTTAATCAATTCTCATGTCACCGTAAGACGACTGGGACGCTTCCACCTTCTCGATGTTCTAGAATCACAGGACTTCTCTGTTCTGAGGTTCAGGAGAGCTTACGCACAACTGACTGGGATTCGCACCTGTTTTCCCTGTTTTCCAGACTACTTTGCTGACAAGCTTTTCGGTTTATTGCTGGTCAATCAACTTTCATAATTTTTATCTTAATAAAAATCTTTTCTCCCTGGAAAATTATCACGAGCACAGTTTCGTATGTAACACAGTATTTGTAGGCGTGACTATAAAACAGCAGACAACTGGAAACCCTGGAAGCGCAGTGATGGGACGTGGGCGTGTTGTGTGAAAACAGCTTTAGGCACGAGGTCATTTCCCTCGAGGCAACTGCTGCTCGGCCCAAACCTCCTGTCCTTAAGCTTCAATGTGAAATTTTACAACCACACAACTGTAAGTGCCTAGAGCCAGCACTAAATTCCTCTATTATAGTTACATCAAAACCACCAATACAACCACCACGGGCGACAGTGAATGCACCTGGGTGTTGACGCTGGTTGGTGGGGGGATGTGAGCTGCCTTTTCTCCGCCAAGTTTTCCTTACTGAGAACATGTCACGTTCAGATGTTTTAGCTCAGAAAGTATAGAGAGACTTTAGTAGTATCCCAACCTCGTAAAGCTCCTTGAGGGCTGCGAGCTTCGACTCAAACTTCTCCAGGCTCCAGAGGGTGGAGACGCCAAGGCGAAGGTTCCCCACCCGGACGCGAGTATCAGGGCCACTCCCTTTACCTGTCGTCTCGTGTCTGAAAAAAACAGGAAACACCTTAAAACACACAAACCGTCACTTCCACAGAGCTTTCTGAATTAGAGTCACTTCCACAAGAATTGGCCCACTGATGCGGAGTCTTCCTGGTTAAGCATTTTGAGTGGTAACAGTGTGTCGTGTAGACTGTGCTAAAACTTCTTGCGTAAAAACTTCCCTTTAAAATGTGGCCTATTGATACATTTTCAACTCGGAACACAGGAAGTCCTAAGGCTCCAACGACTACCCTGTTCATAAGCACGGTGTCTGCCGACTGCTCGGTCTCTGCACCGCGAGCTCAGGGACAGGTCTGCGGCCCGGGGCCCCTGCCACCTGCTCTGTCCCGGGCAGGTGCTGCAGGAGACCATGTCTTCAGAGAAACTAAATCAATCATAGTTTCTGAAAACAACTGGAGGTAATCGCTCACCTGCCAAACACATACTGTCTCTGGAGCCGGCTGCTGATAGCGTTGGCCTCCTGGATCATCATGGAGAGCTTCAGGGAGCCCCAGCTCGTCGCAACTGGCAGGGAGCACAGGGGGGTGAGGGGCAGGCGTGAGCACCAACAATGCCACTGGGCAGAACTTTCCGGAAAAAAACATCCAAGTGAACGGCGCCAACCGCGTATCACAGGAGGCGAGGGCGTATCTGAGCCGCGATTCTTCACCCTCGCTGAGCACCAGCGTCAGGCACCAACGGCCTTCAGAGAATGACGGAACCGCCAGGCGCTCACCTGTGAACGTCCTGTCCCTGCTGCTCTGGTTTTGCTGCAGTGCTTGAACTTCTTTAGCAATCTTTCGCTTCTCAGCTTCTAAGGCTTCCAGGATCCTCGTGTGGCGGATGCTGTGGTCCTCTAGCGCCTGAGACGTTCATCCACGGACACCACACGTGGCATGTGAGGGAAGAAATAAAGCCAGATGGGTCTTGGTCATTCAACACAATAATTAAACCTCATTTCCAGTACATGTCTTATTAAGCTTAAAAGGCTATTAAAAAATTTATAAAATATCTTTATAAAATTATTTTCTCCCATTATAAAAATTAGGAATTTTTGATGACAATCTTTTCCTTTCCACTGTTAAAAAAACACCTTTAGAAAAAGAAAAAGCCCCCACTCAAGGAACTTTGACCAAACAAAAGTTAAACTTAAAAGACACCAAAAAAACTTCACTGGACACAAATAGCCTTACGATAACCCACTCATAATGTTTAAGATTTAAACAGTTTTTTCTCCTAAAACTCTCGGAGTTTGGGGCCCTCTGTGTCCTAGAGCTGACTACTAACGTGTGACCAGTAGGTCACTACCGTACCCAAACTTGGGGTTACAGGGGTATTTTCCCCCACCACAGACTTGAAGAGAAATAAAACTGCCCTTAGAGTAAAGCCGAGAGATTAAGACCCTGACATCCTGCACGTGAACGTGGCCAGTGTGAATGGCGCCTGGAAGCCGCTCTGCCCCGAGATGAAAGGTTGGGGCCCACGGCTCAGGAGCTACTCGGGCAGGCGGCCGGCGGCCGTACCCAGGGGCAGTGTCCCCGAAAGCAGGGTGTGGCGCTGTGACTCCCTCCCAGGCTGTGCCCAGCCCTGCCTCTCCTGTCCCCGCTATCAGGGCAGCTACGGCTGCACAGAGACAACCGGGGTGGATGAGCTGGAGAGAACGGCCGTGTCCCCTTAACAGGGCCCTGAGCGCTGGGGCGGGACCCCACCGTGAAGAGGAGCCCGGCTCTCCCCCGACAGCGAGCCCCTGCTGGGGAACCACCTGCTTTGCAGCCAGACTCTCCACCTCCAGGCGCCGCCTGTTGGCCTGCACTTCCTGCTCCAGCCGCCGCTTGGCCCTTTCCAGCTCCTCGATCCTGTGAGTCGCTTTCTGGTTACTTATTTCCTGCATTTCCTTCCTTTGAGACTCTTCTTTCTTTAAACAACAATAATGAAAACAACTGGGGCAAACACACAAAGCATTTTTTTTTTCAAAGATTCACAGAATGTACACATGGTCCCTTCCTTTCACCGGAGCCCGAGAGGTGGACGCACCAGGAGAAACGCTGCCCCGGGTCTGCCTACCTCACAAGCATCGACTGACCTAAAACAAACATCGCTCGTGAAACCCTCCTCTACGTGGGTCCCAGGAAAGGGGGCGGCCACGGATGGAGCCGGGGAGCAAGGCTCACGCGCTGGGGGACAGCAGCCCCTTTGCCAGTGGTCAGTTGGTGCTTCCGAACATGTATACTCAGATTAGCAGGTGAACAGGGAAGCGCCCGGATGAACGCGCAGCAGGCGGCGGACCAGAGTCAAACAGGGTCGACGGAGGCACCTGTGCTGTTCCCTGCGGCAACCACCTGTCTGCACCAACGTGCTGCCTAGTAAAGGGAGGGGCCCCAGCTCCTCCCAGGACCGGTGTCCCTCGGGCCCTCGCAGGGGAAGGAAGCCAGCCGCTGGTTACCAGCTGGGCCTCCAGGGCCCCGATGCGGCTCTCGTAGGCAGCTCTCTGAGCAGCGAGCTCCTGCTGGGCCATGTCCTTGGCGATCTGGACGCCCTGCAGCATCTCCTGCTTTGCTCTCAGCTGCGCCTCTTTGATCTCCGCCTCCAGTCTGCAGAGTACAACCACCCGCAGGTGCCCGGAGGTCAGCCCCCAGCTGACTCCGGGTGACCAGCCCCAGATGCTGGCCTCTCCGCAGCCCTCTCCCTGCAGCCCCCCACCCCGACCCCCTGCTTGACCCACGACGACACTCACTGCGAACGCTGTGCCGCCAGCAACTCATTCTTGGCGAATTCAAAGTCCTTTGGGGCCTCGCTGGCGAGGGCGTCTCCCCCGGGCGGTCTCCTCCCCTCCTGGACTTCCGCTGGGTGGTTAAATCTAAAGTAATGGTCTCCACCGAGGACCACGCGGTCGCCCTGCAGCACACGAGTTACTGCTGGAGGCGAGTCTGACCCAGAATGACACGGGCCAACCGCTGTGCTCAACAACTCAACACAGCCCAGGGTTATTAAGGAGAAACACGGCTCGTAGCAACTAATATCGCCGGGAACTGCGCTGGTTTACACTCACGTGGTGCAGCGCTGTGGGCTCCGAGACCTGTCTGCCGTTCACATACGTCTTTGCTTCCCCGACCGGGACAATGCTCACAGTCCCGTCGACATTTCTGATTGTGCTGTCGAGAGGGAAACGCATGGTCACCGCTACAGGACGGACAAGGAAGGAACACGTGACACAGGACAAGCCTGTCGGGGTCACTCTGGGGTGAAGGTTCCAATCAACTCACGACAATAATAAAATTATCTGTCCTCCGATCAGACTGAGTTTTGGGGGGAAAGCCTGGCCTCCCAGCAGCTCTGTCCTCAGAGGGAAAAGGCATGTTGAATGTTTTCAGTACAACTGCTTTTTAAAAAAATACCAACCCTCTGCCCCCAAAAGAAAAAAATGACAGGAACATGGAAGCCTTCACAATGGTTTGCCTCTACACGGAACAGACCGAAAGTGTTCCTTGGTTTCACTTTTCTAACTGTCCGGGTTCAAATAAGATTTAAATAGGTCAGATGATGACCCTTCCCGTCGCGAGCTGGGGCGGGAGCGTGAAGGTAAAAGCGCCTCCTCGCTGGACTCGACTCTGAGGCGAGGCTGCAGAGAGGCAGCTACAGATGCTCTGAGGGTCCGAGTCTCTGTCCGGAGAGCAGGGAACTGGACTTTTAAAACCCTGAAGTCCAATTCATGCTGATTAACTGGTGGGAAGGGGCGAGGGGCCAGCCTCATGTTTGGGACGTGGCTGTGTAATCACAACACACTCCGAGCGTCGTCTTCCTGGAGAAGATGCACCGAGCGCCACAGACGTGCAGCGTGTGCCTCCCGCGGCCGGGACGCCGCCCACGGGAAGGGACAGGTGCCCGTTTCCCATTACCCACCAGTGGTGGTCGGCCACCAGCACCCCAGACAGCTGGATGTCGGGGCTGGAGGCGGGGCTGCGCCTCCCGACGGCCGTGGAGCCCTCCTTGATCACGTACAGCAGCGTCTCTGACAGCTGGGGGTCCTCGCTCAGGTTGACCAGGTTTGGCAGGCGGTTGTCCACTTGGAAGGCGATTCCTGCTTTCTGGAGTCGGAGAGAAAAAAAAAAAAAAGAAGAACCGTGACCACAGCGTGAAGTTGTTTAGCGCAGTGAAGGCGGGCCGTCGGGGCCAAAGGTTAAAGTCGCGCCACTGGCCTCTCGACCGTCCGGCTCCGTCTCTCCTCGGACGCCACCCACGCCCCCCCTTCTCCACCACGGCCATCCCTTCCCACGGCTCCCCACGCCTCCTGCAGGCGGCACGTGCTGGAGAAGTTAGGTCTGCAATGTGCTGGCCCCTTTAACTGCGTCAGCTCGGAGGCAGACGTCGTACCTGCAACTCTTTTATCTCGTGATGTTTTCTTTTTTCTGCTTGTTCAAATTTTTCTTTCCACACTCTTTCCAGAAACAAAATTAATAGTTAAAAATACACACATATAGAACGAAGAATCAACAGAGATGAGGAAACCACGTGGGAGGAAGGAGACGGCCTGGGGTGGGCTGCAGCACTGCTGCGGGG